AGGCGGTGACCGCCGCGCCTCCCTCCCCACCGCTCGGTGGGGGGCGCCGTTGCCTGATTCGCACCCCCAGAGCGGAGACCGCGCTTTGCTTTGGGGGCGGGGTTGGCTGGTTTTTCCACACGTGCTTCTGCCCGGGGGTCCCAGCTCCCTGGCTCCTGGTGGCGGAGAAACTTCCCAATGGGGATTGACCCTCCCTTCACAAAAGGGGCGAGGGGATCCTGCGGGGGGCTCAGGGCCCATCGGGCCAAAGGGAACTTGCCCAGAGCGCCCGTAAGTGCATCTCCCCTTGCGCCCAGCGCCCGCCCCTCGCCCGGAGAATGGGAGCCCGGCCCGAGCTGGGGAGCAGCGCCCGCTCCTGGTGGCGGAGAAACTTCCCAATGGGGATTGACCCTCCCTTCACAAAAGGGGCGAGGGGATCCTGCGGGGGGCTCAGGGCCCATCGGGCCAAAGGGAACTTGCCCAGAGCGCCCGTAAGTGCATCTCCCCTTGCGCCCAGCGCCCGCCCCTCGCCCGGAGAATGGGAGCCCGGCCCGAGCTGGGGAGCAGCGCCCGGCCGGAGAGGGGGCTTTCCCCCGTGGCTGAAATCACACCGAAAGCTCCTCCCGGGAGCTCGCCACACCCCGCACGCCAGGCTCGGGATGTTCCCGGGGCGAGGGCAACCCAGACTCCGGTGTCCTTTGATCACCTGCACTGTAGAGACTTCCCAGGCATTTCTAACCTTCCCGCGGTCCGATCCAAACCTCTGCTGCAAAGCACTTAGGGGTATGTGGGGTTCCCCGCAGCGAATCGGAAATTAAAGATGATCGTGACTAGTCGTTTGGTTGTTTTAAAGCAACCCTCCGGAAACAGGGGCTGGACTCCTGAGGTCCCATCTAGCCCTGTGATTCTAACAGGCTAAGGGGGTTCGTTTGCCGACACCCCTTGAATCAGACCTGTTTCATCTGATTGACTGGAAAAAATCAACTTTGCCCAGAATGATGCTTATGCTCAAAACGGCGTGTTCCTTAATTTTACCGCTGTTGATTTTATGCCTGTAGATTTCCCCCCACCACACACACACACAATTTCAGATGCATAAAATAACCTAAACAGGCTTGTTTTAAAAAACCCTCAAAAGGGTTGGCAAACGTTTTAAAAAGACCCTTTCCTTTCAACGACTTTGATTTTAAGTCAGGTAAAAAGAAAACCCGTAGAACGTGAAACTGAATTTTTTATTAGACTCTTCAAGGATGGAAAGCCAGAGAGCTCGGTTTGAATTAAATAGACACACAAAATATAGCTGTTAAAAGGCGTTATTCGTTTCATAGACAGAATCTCTCTGCGCAACATCGGCAGCCTTTTACTAGCAACGATCTGACGCACTAGAACGGAAATATTTGTTAAAGCTAAACGTAGAGAATCATTTCAAAAATCACATTTAGACCTGCAAACGCTGAGTGTAGAGAGACTTTTGAAGATCCCTCTGAGCCGAGAGGGCTTAGCGGCTGACAGCGAATATTTATTACCTTGCTGCACACAGGGTCCAGGGAATGAAGGGTTTTTGTTTGGTTTTTTATGTTATTTTTTTGCTTGCCTCAGAACAACTCTCTAACCCAAAACGACGAAGGTGAAATCTCTGCCACAGATGTCCAGACACAATTCTTGGTTTGTATGTTTCCATTGCACAAGAATTGCGTTTGGACAATCAGGAGCAGAGATTCCTGCAGTCCGGGATTGGCAGGCATCTTCCAGGAAAATCCGGGTTGGTTCCTAGAAAACACAAACACACACACACATACACCCCCGTGCTCCTTCCCCACGCCGGGCTCCTCCACACACTGCGAGCCTTCTCCAAAACACTCGTGTCAGCGGCTTTTACCACCACAGACGCGTGTTTGATTCCTTTCGAGGAAAGTGTAACATGGAGATAACGCTCCCTTCATCCTGAACTAGCTTCTGCTCTTGACTGGAAAGCTTCTAGTCCCCATTTTTATTTGAGAGATTTCATTTTACTCCCTATCGCCCAGTTAATTGAATGACCTAGAATACACACAACCTGCCTGATCGAGCATCCGAATCAAGCAGGTTTTATTTTTTAGAAAGAATTCGTGGGCGAAAGACGGGGATTTGCACGGTTACTGTGTGTAAATTTCTCTCTTTTTAGAAGAGGGTGCGTGGAAGTGCCATGGGGAATTATTTTAAATAATAATAAAAAGAAAGGCGCTCCAGTCTCGGTCTTTGATGGCAAGTTTGTGTACGGATGGCCCCT